CCCCCAACTGCCCTCCCCTGCAGGCCTGGTCACCCCCAACTGCCTTCCCCTGCCAGCCTGGTCACCCCTAACTGCCCTTCCCTGCAGGACTGGTCACCCCCAACTGCCCTCCCCTGCAGGCCTGATCACCCACAACTGCCCTCCCCTGCCAGTCATCTTGTGGAGGCCATCTTGTGATGATGTCACACAAGGGCGTGGCACCACCTAGGCTTTTATTATATAGGATAGGTAGGTTAATGAGAAAGAGAGAGAGAGAGAGAGATTTTCTCTGATTTTGTTTTCATTTTACTCAAAGATCCTATTTGGCAGTCCTACTCTCACACACTTTATACTTTACTGTCAAACTGTCCTTCTAGCATTTTTGTTTTTGTTTTTAATACAACAGGCAAGCTTTTGCCTCAGGGTATTTATACAAGTACTAGAGGCCCGGTGCACAAAAATTTGTGTTTTGCCTCAGGATATTTATACAAGTATTCCCTGGGATGTTCTTCAGCGTGGTTCATTGTCTTATTTACTCCAAGTCTTTCCTTATAATGTTCTTCAGCATGGTTCATTGTCTTATTTACTCCAAGTCTTTCCTTATATATCTTCTCAGGGAGGCTTATATTAATACGTTTATTTAAAAAAGATCCAAGTTTCCCAATTATCAAGCATTAGATTTCCAAAAGATATTTTTAATTTTTTCTATAGTTTTGCTTAAACATTTTAAGATTCTTCTTAATCTGCTTATTTATTATGTCATTATTAGAATCATCTACTAACCATATGAACTCAGAGATTCATATCCATTTTGTTTACTAATGCATCTCAAGCACTTAGAAGAATATCTGGAAAGTAGCAAATGGTCAATAAAAACTGAACTAATATGACATCAATTTAACAGATTAGATGGACATCCCATATTAAAATATATTACTTATAAATGATAAGAATATGTTTAAAAGGCTCTATAAAGAGAAAGATAGGTGTAGGTATCCCATTTTCATTTTCCCACACACGTATAACATAAAGATTGTGACTGCTGTGGCAGTCTGGATTTGTTGAAAGAACAAGTCCCAGAACCCAGCCACTGACAAGCAGAGCAAACATTTTTTTCTTCTTGTATAACAAAAGAAACTGACCCATGGTGAGGTGGGACTCCAGGGAAAATAACAATTCTGAGTTGAAAACTGTAAAGAAATTTAGCAGGTGATATGCAGGCCCTGTTTTGTGGCAGAAAAAGAAAGAATACATATATCCATGTTAGTCCCAAGGAGGAAGCCACTATTTGGAAGCCTGGAAACAAGCAGGACTTTGGGAGTCATGCAGGTATGGGATAAAAATAGTATACATTGAAATGCATCAAAACATAATCCTTCCCTGTAAAGTCATCTGCCAAATTTTGATGCCACACAGAAAGGCCAAGGAGCTAAGTAAACTTAAAGTTTTAAAATTGACAATACAGTATTACTGAACATACTCTATGTAATTCAAGCATGATAAAAGGAAGAAAAAATCACACCTAAACATTTTTAAGACTAATTAAAACTACAATGAAACTTTCAAAGTGTCAAGAGAAAAAAAAAAAAGATGTTACCTTCAAAGAAACAGCAGTATGATTGACAACTACTTGTCAATAGAAATGAAGAAAGCCAGAAGACAATGAAATGATAATTTTAAAGAATTAAGGTCATTTTTTATACATTTTATTGATTTATTACAGAGAGGAAGGGAGAGAGATAGAGAGTTAGAAACATCAATGAGAGAGAGACATCTATCAGCTGCCTCCTGCAAGATGTGCCCGCAACAAGGTACATGCCCTTGACCGGAATCGAACCTGGGACCTTTCAGTCCGAAGGCCGACGCTCTATCCACTGAGCCAAACCGGTTACGGCATGGGTCATTTTTAAAAAGACATCCTAAAATTTGTTCCAGCAAAAGTTTTTAAAAAATAAGGTTAAGTAAAGATTTAACAATGACTGCAAACAAATATATATAATTAAAAAGAAGCAGACCTGTAATAGGAATACATAGAATTTCTGAGACATGGAAATGAACTGCAGATAGAACCAGAAATGCAAGAAGAAAAAAAAAAGCACCAGAATGAGTACATTTATGATTAAACTAGAGGCCCGATGCATGCATGGGGGAGGGGTGTTCCTCAGCCCAGCCTGCGCCCTCTTCATACCCTTGGGGTATGTCCAACTGCCAGTTTATGCCTGCCTGTGGGATTGGGCCTAAACCGACAGTTGGACATCCCTCTCACAATCCGGGACTGCTGGCTCCTAACCACTTGCCTGTCAGTTTGCCTGATTGCACCTGACCGCTTCTGCCTGCCATCCTGATCCCCCCTAACCGCTCCCGTGCTGGCCCGATTGACGCCTACCTGCTCCCCCGCTGGCCTGATCGCCCCAATTGCCCTTCCCTGCTAGCCATCTTGTGGCAGCCACCGAGGCTTTATTAAGGTTTAAAATAATACTGACTTTATTAAAAATAATAGTAATCTTTCATTGGGGTTTACAAGTAAGCAGGATTATGATACATAAAAAAAAATGATAGGCAGAAAAGTTAACTGGAATAAAAAAGTTAAATGATCGCTGTAACCGGCTTGGCTCAGTGGATAGAGTGTCAGCCTGCAGACCATAGGGCCCCGGGTTTGATTCCAGTCAAGGGCGCATACCTTGGTATCAGACTCTCCCCCAACCCCAGCCCTGGTCAGGGCTCATGTAGGAGGCAACCACCAGTTGATATGTGTTTTTCTCACATTAATGTTTCTATCTTTCTCTCTCTTCCACTCTCCCTAAAAATCAATGGAAAAATATCCTCGGATGAGGATTAACAAACAAACAAACAAAAAAGTTAAATGATTTAAGAATATAGGGTAATTGGTAAACGTGTATATTAGGTACAATAACTCAAGCATTAATATCTTAATCTAGAGAAACTACTAAAAGAAGAGTAAAAGGATGTATAACAAAATATTTAAGAGAGGTGAAATGGTATAATATAAAATAATAGATTCATGAGTTACTACATCATCATTAGTTATATTACTATATATTCTATACCTTTTTTCTAATATAAGAAAGAGTTTAAGAAACCAACTACTATTACTGCATTATTTTTAATATGCATTTTTATTGATTTCAGAGAGGAAGGGAAAGGGAGGGAGAGAGAGAAACATCAATGATGAGAGAGAATCATTATTCAGCTAACTCCTGCACAATCCCTACTGGGGATAGAGCCCACAACCTGGGCATGTGCCCTAGACCGGAATTGAACCCAGGACCCTTCAGTCCACAGGCTGATGCTCTATCCACTGAGCCAAACTGACTAGGGCTGTTACTGCATTTTAATTCAGGTCTTCTTATATTTCTAAGCAATTATACTTTACATATTTCAAAATATATTAAACATTCAATAAATATTGTCCCTGTGATACTGATAGTTAGTCACAGGATGCTTTAGGTCTGACCACTGGCTCACTCTCATGTGCATCACTTGGCATTCCAAAATAGTGGCTGACTGTCAGATTCTATCTGGATTGTCCCAATGTATCTCTTGCAAAAATGCAGCATTATTTTTCTTTAGGAAGAAGTAATTTTGAGTCTTCCTTCAAACTGATATCATCCATTTTACATAAAACAACATTTTGCAAGCTTTATAATGTATGAAAGGATTGCAATTATGAATTCTAGATATGGTACAGATCTCTCTCTCTCTCTCTCTCTCTCTCTCTGATTTGGTAATGTCACGTGCAGACTTCTGTCTCATTATTTTGGAAGACTATTCTTATCATTTTAAAAAGGACCATTACAATTTTGATGTTTCTTTATTACTTAGTTGTGTTTGTTTTCCCCAAATTTATTGGCTTGCATGGAATTGAGTTTGGCTAATTACAATTATATTCTAAATCCGTAAGACATTCTGACATTGTATGTAAACTCTAAAAAAAATTATCACTATTCTTTTCACCTGAAAATCCTAAATATTCTTTCAAATAAAATTGAATGTAAAGAAACTAAAGAGCAAGTCATCAAGTTTTGATAAAGATAGAAAATTATCGAAACTCATCCCTTGTGAAACAACATGAATAACCAAAAGAAATCTGGTTCTACAGGAAGGAGAAAGGTGGAAGCTTACACTGTGGATTCAGGTTCTTTAGTGTATAAATTCAAGATTTACTATAAACTTTAAAGATTTTTAAAGGATAAAATAAAAAACAATGAAAAGCCAGTAACTTGAAACATTTGCAAATGCAAAATAATGACATTCTGGATCATTATAAATGACTAGATGCCTGATGCATGAAATTCGTGCAAGAGTAGGCCCCCTAACCGCTCCCGTGCTGGCCCGATTGACGCCTACCTGCTCCCCCGCTGGCCTGATCGCCCCAATTGCCCTTCCCTGCTAGCCATCTTGTGGCAGCCACCGAGGCTTTATTAAGGTTTAAAATAATACTGACTTTATTAAAAATAATAGTAATCTTTCATTGGGGTTTACAAGTAAGCAGGATTATCATAACCAATGGACATAAGACACTGGGGGTAGGGGAGGCCAGGGGATTGTCAAGGGCGGGGGAAAAAAGGAGACATATGTAATACTCTTTGTAATACTTTAAGCAATAAAACAATAAAGAAAAAAAAGTGTAGGTTTTCCTTCCCCCAGCTGCCAGCACCAGCTTCTCTCTGGCACCAGAGACCCAGGCTTCCCTCATAGCCCCGGCTTTGTCTGGAAGGTCATCTGGAAGGATATCTGGTCTAATTAGCATATTATGCTTTTATTATTATAGATGATTATTAATAGGGCAAAGACAAGTGGTAAAATAATGTAGATCACCTACTTTTGCATCAGGTTCATAGTGTATGTTTTCCCATCAATTACAATGTTGTAAGACACCTAGCAGGAGAGTATATTAAAAAAAAAACAAAGCAAAGTGAGAAGAATATTAAAAAGGAAAACAATCATTTTATATTGACAATAATTGTACTCTAAAACACACTACTACAATAAAAAAAATATAATTTAATATTGATGTATTTCAATTTCTGCATACTGAAATACATTGTTTTAACCATTTTCTTCTATTAATATCTGAAAATTAATGTGTCCTAATTTATGAAGGATATTTCATTTGAGTAAATGATTCTATAATGCAAATTTATTTAAAATCATACAATTAAAGCTTTAATTTCACTGTATTCTCATCCCCATTGTTGACTTTGAGAGTATATCAGTGTACTACTTATTTCAACGTAGATGATCTTTGATGTCTGGCTGCCTTTAAGACACTTTCTTGGCTTTGGTATTCTGATTTTACTGTCAAGGTGTTACTTGATTTTTATATACTCTGTGGTGTGATACTTGATCTAGGGATTCATTTTAAAATCATTTCACAGTTAATATATGTTTTCATACAATCTCTTCAGGTTGTTTTTTTTTTTATGCCAGGAATTCCAATTATTCTACACTTGACCCTCTAATTCTATTCTTTTTTTTCCCTCTTAAGACATTTTTATGTTGAATCTACTTGAGTCTCTTCAGCTGTCTGGTCTACTGTTGATTCTTGATTTTTTTTTTTTTACTTTCATATTATTTAATATCTACAAGTTCCATTCAGTTATTTTTAAAAATAAACTAGCCTTTTTAAGTGGAATATTTTCTCCTATGATTTTTTTAAAATATATTTTTATTGATTTCAGAGAGGAAGGGAAAGAGAGAGAGAGAGAGAGAGAGAGAGAGAGAGAGAGAAACCTCACTGATGAAAGAGAATCATTGATTGGCTGCCCTCCTGTGTGCTCCACATTGGGGATCCAGCCTACAGCCTGGGCATGTGACCTGACCAAGAATTGAAACATGACCTACTGGTTCATAGGTAAACACTCAACCACTGAGCCATGCCAGCATGGCTGATCTTTATTTATTAATTACTAGAGGCCCGGTGCACAAAATTCATGCGGGGGTGGGGGGGTAGGGTCCCTCAGCCTGCACACCCTCACAATGCAGGACCGCTAGCTCATAACCACTCTCCTTCCTGCCTGCCTGGTCTCCCCTAACCACTCTGCCTGCCTGGCTAATTGCCCCTAACTGCCTCTGCCTGCCTGCCTAATCACCCCTAACTGTTCCCCTGCCTGCCTGATGCCCCTAACTGCTTGCCTGCCTGCCTGGTTGCCCCTAACTGCTCGCCTGCCTGCCTGATTGGCCCTAACCACCTCTGCCTGCCTGTCTGATCACCACTAATGCTTGTCTTCCTCCCTGATCGCCCCTAACCGCCTCTGCCTAGGCCCCTGTACCCGGGACCCGTGCTTCCCTCCCTCTGGCCAGCCGCAGGCACCTGGGCCCCAGCTTTGTCATGAAGGACATTTGGAATGACATCCAGAAGATGTCCAGTCTATCCAGTCTAATTAGCATATTACCCTTTTATTAATATAGATAATACTTATAAACATACTCTGTTTCATATTATTTGTAGCATTTGTTGGATCAATAAGCCTTATTGCTTCAAAAAATACTACAAATCCCTTACTATGTATTCAGCACTGTTCTAAACATGGGATAGAGACATTAACAAAATAGTTAAGTTTTGTTCCTCATGAATTTGACAGTTGCAGAAAAGTGATTTTTTTCTGCCAATCTAATTTTATTTATATTTAATCTAGTAATGATTGGTTTAAGATATCGCCCTCTTAATACATCTGTGTATATTTTCTAATATAACCAAACAATTACATATATATTTTTGTATAAAAATAAAACTTTTAAAATACTGCTAAATGTCTTCACCTCCTTTTCTATGAAAGAGAAATTTAATGTCTAATTTAATTAAATTTAAAATTCTCATAAATATAAGTCTTTTAAAATGGTATATTGAATATTTTAAGCTTGTATTATCTCCATTAGGGTGACAAGTGGGTAGTTGCTAAGAAATATTTGCATTCAATTTACCAGAACATTTATGACTCAACTAGAAAGAAAATTACGATTGGGTATATATACAAAAACACTTCTCACTTCTTTAGAAATGATTCCAGAAATTAGTAAAAGAGATACAAATCTAATTATTTCAAAGAAAAACGACATTGGACCAAGAACTACTAAGATGGCATAAAATAACAGCCTTAATGATGAACATATTTGCAATAAAAAATTTTTAAAATCATCACATAACCCTTCATTAAATCAAAAGATCATCATCCCATGCCAGGAATCCTTAGGCTTACTTAACAACAACAATTTCCTCCAAATTTAGCCTGGGGAGAGAGTGGGGAAAGAACCTCTGGATGGATCAGGTCAATGATTGTTCAAACACTCAAGGAGGAAACAAATTTAGAAGATGGGCCTTGGGGCTTTGATAATAAGCATCACTGCACAATATGTCTATGAAACATTATTAACCTTGGCTCATTTTCAAAAGGTTTTTTTTTGTCAAGAAAAATTGGGTATAAATATAAAATTCAGCAAGTGTGCATGGATAAAATATGCCAGATTTACTTCTTAGGAATGAAATAATCGCATTGTTTTTAGATTCTGAAGAAAGAATAGTGCTTGCTTACATTTGTTTCAACTCCATCTCTTGATGTTGACCGTTTTTTCTCTGGAATTATAATTTGCACAGGTAGTAGTAGTTCAGAATCTGTAAGATGCAAAATGTTTTGTTAGAGCAACACGCATCGCCCCATATCTCCTCCTCTACAGTCATCATAGTCTGTACACCGCCACTTATTTTTGCTATCTTGTTCAATACCCTCAATCTACAGTCTTTCTGGAATTACAAGGCTTTGTAAAGAGGAAGAGGTTTATTGTCTTAGGAGTTGTAGGCGGTTCACAGTAATTCTGAGGCAATAGGAGCAAGCATCTCAGTACATATAAACTTGGGTCCTTTTGACCTTCCAATGACAATGTCCAGGGGTAAAAAATGCAGAGCAGTTTATAAAACACTAATCGTGAGGCATCTACTCAAGCCAAGCATGGCATCTCACTGCTCCCCTTCCCTCCCCCAATGTGGCTGTTGTCTGGGGAAGGTGGCAATGCGGGAGTGGACCGGTGCTCACAGAGTTGGAGCCCCCACAACAAAGCACTTTCCCAGAGATAGCCAACCTCTCAGAGGAAACCCAGAGGAAAGCTGCCATGCCTGGCAGGTCAAAGAGGGGCGGGCTGAGTGGGTAGTGCACATACCACTACTGTCTGTCTGGAGCCCGATGAGCCCAAAGAGCAGAAACAGAAACCTCAGCATGGCTCGATGTCCGGTATCCCAACCTCAATAATGGCAGTTGCCTTGGCAAAAGGCGGTTGGCAGCACGAGGAGAACCCTGCGGAGCAAAGATGGGTGGGGAGCGAACGCGCTGTGAGCTGTGGGACATGGGCGGTCTTGGCCCCTGAATCTATGCAGTAGGAGGTTTTGACTCATTTTGACGCCTCTTTGGGGCAAAAAACAAACAGAAAACCCAGAAGAATACTTCCAGATGGTAGAAACAGCTAATGAACAGGAAGATGCATATACACTTCTTAAGTGAACTGAAGTTATACATACATGTATTATTTTCCACAAATCACAGGCGCACTGCTCCACTAATATTCAAGTGAATAAATAGGTGTAATTAGCACCTACTTAGATTAAGAAATAAAATGTAGAGCCACCAATGCCCCCAAATTGCCCTCTGACAATCATTACTTCTAACAGAATAGATTTGTTTTGTCTGTTTTGGAACTCCTTAAGAATGGAAGAAATCGCCATGTACTCTTTAATGTTTGAGTTCTTTCATTATAATGATTATAATTTCCAAACATGTAAATGCCAGTAGTTTTTTTTTGTTTGTTTGTTTGTTTTGTTGGCGCCCTTACACATTGAATGAATATAACACCATCTGTTTTTCCATTTTATTGTTAAAATATGGTTCCCTTATAGTTGTGGCTATTAAAAACCATAGTTGGTTATTTTCTTTCTTATACACGTCATAGGGTGAACATATGAATTTTCATTGAGTACATTACTAAAGTGAAGTTGCCTGGTCACAGAGTGTGATCTTACTTAGAGGATACTTCCAAAGTGTTTTACATGCTGAGAATTACACTTTACATAGATGCCTGTAGTTTTTTGTTTGTTTTTATTTTTCATTTTATTCATGTTGGTGGACCTATAGATGTCCTGCATTTTGGTTTTAATTTGCATTTCATCATTGTTAATTAAGTTAATTGTTAATTATTAAGTTAACAATAACAGTTTTATATGTTTATTGACCATTTATAAAGCTTCTTTTGTACATGCCTATTTGAGACGTTGGTCCATTTTTAAATTGAATGGCCTTGTCTCTTTCTAATTATATGTAAAATAAATGTGGTCTAGGTATGATTCCTTTGTTGAACATAATAATTGCAAATGTCTTCTATGCCAGGGCCTATTTTCAATGGGTTTTTATAGATACATATTTACATTCAGAAATTTACCTTTTTATTAATTTGCTGGAATTTGTATATGTATCCTACCATGGATATTGAATTTTATAAATTGAAATGACCATATAGTTTTCTCTATTTTCTGTTAATATTATAAATTAAAATTAGTGTTTTTCCAGTGTTGAAACACACCTGTATTCCTGGAATATACCTTCTTTGGTTACGATGTGTTATCCTTTTTAACTTTTGCTGGATTGATTTAGCAGCATTTTGTTTAGGATTTTTGCATCGATATAAGAAACATCTGTCTGTAATTTTTATTCTCATATATTGTCAAATTTTGTATCAAATAGATGATGGCTTCATAAAAGAAATTGAGAAATATTATCCCTTTCTCTATTCTTTGAAAGAGTTACTATGATTTGAATAATTCTTTATTTATGTTTCTTATAATTTAGAAATGGAGCAATTTAGACTGAGAATTTTCTCTTTGAGAGAGTTGGATTTTTTCTTATGAATACAATTTTTAAAAATATTCAGATATTCTCTTTTTCTTTGTGATGAAATGTGTACATTTCTCTAATTAGTTAGATGCATTGGCCAGCTATTCATAATATCCTTCCTTCCTTCACTATCCTACTGATTTCCGTGGAATCAGTAGAGATAGCCCATTTTTAAAATTTTCAATGTTGCTAATTTTGTGGGGGTTTTTTCCCTATTTATTTATTATCAGTAATTTTTGGAGTTTTCATTTTTATTTATTTATAAAGAACAAAGTTTTGGATTTTTAAATTTTTTCTATTATGTTTATTTTCTATTTCTTTTATTGTTTTAAAAAACATTATCTTTATTGTTGAAAGTATTACTAATGCCCTTTTCCCCCTCCCCCCAACACCCCTACACCAACCCGCTTCAGTCTGCTCCTGCCCTTTCCCCAGGCCTTTCCTACACCATTGTCTATCCATGGGCTATGCAAATATGCATATCAATTCATTGGTTAATCTCTTCCCATTCCCCCCCCCCTCTGAAATAGATCAGTCTGTTGCATGTTTCAATGTCTCTGGATCTTTTTTGTTTGTTACTTCATTTTGTTCACTAGCTTCCACATATAGGCGAGGTCATGTGATGCTTGTCTTTCTCTGACTGCCTTATTTCACTCAGCATAATACTCTCTAGGTCTCTCCATGCTGTCTCAAAGGGTAAGAGATCCTTCTCTTTTATAGCTGCATAATATTCCAGTGCAAATGTACCACAGTTTTTAAATCCACTCATCTATTGATGGGACCTTGGGCTGTTTCCAAATTTTAGCTATTGTAAACTGTGTTGCTATGAATCTAGGGGTACATATTTTCTTTCTGATTGGTCTTTCTGGTTTCTTAGGATATATTCCCAGGAGTGGGATCACTGGATTAAATAATAGTTTCATTTTTAATTTTTTGAGGAAACTCCACAATGTTTTCCATAGTAGTTCTATAATCTGCATTCCCACCAGGAGTGTACTAAGGTTCCTTTTTCTTCACATTCTTGCTAGCGCATGTTGTTTGTTGATTTGGTGATGATAGCCACTCTGGCAGGTGTGAGGTGATACCTCCTTGTCGTTTTAATTTGCATCTCTCTGATAATTAATGATGTTGAGTATTTTTTCATATGTTTCTTAGCCATCTGTATGCCCTCTTTGTAGAAGTGTCTATTCAGTTCTTCTGCCCATTTTTCAATTGGATTGTTTGTCTTACTTTTGTTGTTGTTATGAGTACTTTATATATTTTGGAAATTAACCCCTTATCAGATGTATCATTGGCAAATATGTTCTCCTGTACAGTGGGTTCCCTTTTTTTAAAATTTTGTTTTATTGCTTAAAGTATTACAAAGAGTATTACATATATCTCCTTTTTTTTCTCCCCTTGACCTAGCCCTGGCCTCCCCTACCCCCACAGTGTCTTGTGTCCATTGGTTATGCTTATATGCATGCATACAAGTCCTTCGGTTGATCCCTCCCCCCCCCCAACCCATGCCCACCTCAACCCTCCCCGGCCTTCCCTCTATAGTTTGACAGTCTGTTAAATATTGCTCTGCCTCTGTATCTATTTTTGTTCATTAGTTTATAATGGTCTTAATTATCCATAAATGAGTGAGATGATGTGGTATTTTTCTTTCATTAACTGGCTTATTTCACTTAGCATAATGCTCTCCAGTTCCAT